GGATTGAATGGGAAAAATTCCATTTCATCACACCTTTTTTTGGAGGGTGGGGGTGCTGAGACCCAACCGGAAGTATGTCCCGATTTTGTATGAAGGGGCGAAAATATGCACTTTTTGGTTCAAATATGGTTGTTTTTCTCATACATTTTTTTGTACAGTTTTAGCGTTCTCAGTAAATATACCTTTCATCAAAATTTCAGGGGGAGATGATTGCAGTGATGTAGTTGTCAGTGGCGGATCCGAGGGGGGCACACAGGGGGCGGTCCCCCCCCTAGAATTTTCAGGGCAAGGGTATTTTAGCCTAGGTAAGTCTGTACTGGTAACTCCAGTGAGGACATGTACATAGCACAGATTTAGTAGTAAGTATTTTAGTCTTTGGTATCCCCAAAGATAAAAAATACTCAACAGTGATTCATCTTTATCATAACATATCACGAGTTTTTCCTCCTTCAGGGGGGTGTCCCCCTCCTGTTTAGGGGGGAGGGAGTCCGGGGAACCTCCCCCGGAAATTCTGTTAAAAATTACTTACGTAAGTTACTTTTAGATGCAATTTCCTGAACTCTGAGGCAGCATTATTAAACAATCTTCATCACAATAATTCCAAAATCTTTAATCTTTAATCTTGAGAGATCTTGAAGGTTCTAAATTGCTAAAATCCAAAAGCTTCTGGGGGTTCCGCCCCCTGCATCCCGGGCAAGGGCTTTCCCCTGCACCTCGTCAGGGGCCCATAGACGGGCCCCTGGACCCCACCCGTTAAGGGCTTCTCGCCAAGGTGTTCTCGGTGGGCGCTACGCGCACACACTCTTCGTATAATTTGCGATGGGAGTAACAGCGAAATCATCCCCCTCCCCACAACTGAGGACCTGTCTACGCCACTGTATATATATTCGTTAACTCATATATTCTTCCCCATTTTTTTCTAAAAAGAAGCGTGTGACGGGCAATATTTGATGCAACCCCCGGCTCTTAATGGATGGGAATTGATCGAAATCGTGTAGATTGGTTCTCTCCTCCGACATTCGACCGCTGGAAGTGAGCTTGAAAGGTTAGATTTAATGTTAATCGCGGAAGCTATCATCACGATACGACGAGGAGATAAATCCAGAATCCACAATCCGGAAAATGCCCGATATATAATACACGGCATTCTATAAATTAATACAGTTCCCAATGACCACACAGAAACACATGACTTAGAAGAAATAGGATGGTTAAAGTAGGCGATTTTTAAGTTTAGGTTTCCCGTTATACCCCACGAAGCCTACCTTCATAATACTTCTAATGGGCCTATTACCTACTAGTATTTTAGTCACAGAAGCAGTTTCCATGCTGCTATGACGTAAAGGTTATGTTTTTCAGAATAATATGGTTTTTTCTTGCATTTAATAAATGTTCTAAATTCTACCTCTCCTTCTATTTTCTTGTTAGTGCCTATATGCTCTATTTTTTGCGTATACTGATGTGGAAGCTTGCCATCAATTTTTTATTGAAAAACTTCAATGTGATATAGTCACTGAGCCTACACTACGTTTCGGCGCCCTCACCGGTCGTCGCCGATTGCACTCGTCACCACTCGGCCGATTCCGTGCTTTCATCTAATACTTATCAAGCACGTCGCCAGGCGGAGGCCTGGAAGCTCGGGCTTCAACATTATTTCCGGACTTTTTAAAAATAAATACAATTGCAATGTACTTTTTACTGTGTTTCAAATGTTAAAATTTCATTTTAAAACTCGCCAGCGTACACCATTTTCCATGTAGCATTTCAAAAAATTCGGGGAGGCCCCCTGGATCCCCACCAGGGGGAGGGGGAAACCCCCTCACACACTCCCAGTTACCGCGCTTTGCGCCTTCGTGACTGGGCTTCAACATTAATCCCTGGCGACGGCCCTGGTTATCACATCGCCCTCACTTAAATAGGCTCGATTTAAACTGTCAGAGGAGACACCACTGTAGTCCACCTTTGCGGGGGAAATTAACGAATGGAGTGCAAATATTCAAAATAAATGGTAGACGCACCGAAGTATATAGAAATAATTGTCAGTGGAAAGCGATTGCAGACTGAAATCGACAACCAATTTTACAGTGTAGGAAGTATGATGAGGAAAATTCACTAGAGGTCAGATAACGATATACAGATTGCAAAATGGCGCACAATGCAGAAACGGCATGCACAGTGGCGTAGCCAGGATTTTTTAACAGGGGGGGGGGCAAAAACAGCGAACTGCGCAAAATAGTGGATGACTTAATATTTTAATGGTTCCTCCGCCTCCCTCTCCACATCCTACGTGCCTCCACCTCTCGGCTCTGCAATCTTTGTTTTGGGCGCCATGAAAAAATAAGACATTTTTGTTCGTTGTTCTCTGCTCCCAAGATATGTAACTGTTCAGTGACGGATCGAACACAGGCGGGTGTATGGGGGTCCGCCCCCAGAACATTTTGAAAATGTAGATCGCAGGAGATTGTATTTGAGGCACTTTTGAGTGCATGTACAGCCTTTATTCTGACTACGACAATTCTCATTTTAGTAGAACAATTCTTGCGCTTGCAGCGCGGCATTGATTGCTGTACAGGGGTGAAAGGGTGACCACCGCTGGGATGAGGGCGACAGCAAAACTCTTTCAAAAGCTGTTATCAGATGCAGTTCCTCTGACGGCAAGTAGTTGCTAACAATTTTACACCTGCTTAGGATTGGACGCAGCGCTTCCATGTTCAGGACAAAGTGAAACGTTGACAGATTTTTCAGCAGCCCTTGTGCATCTGCTACTACCTTAGGGTCTTCATTCGCTGATCTGTCATCAGCCTTTTCATGGTAGATTCCAGAATGGAATGGCGAAGAGGGCTTGACTCAATAAAGGTGTAGATAATTTGTACGGTCCCAAAGAAGTTGCGTGTACTATTTATCTCAGCCGTGGCATCTGCTACAACGAGATTTAGGCTATATAATACACGCACGTACAAGACTTACCTTGCATGGTACTGCGTACTGTCTTCTCTATCCCGTGCACTGTACTGTTGCCTAATACCACATGTAATACATTTTGTTAAATGTTTTAGGACCGCGCGCGTTTGTATGTGGCCGTAGTAGCACGTCAGGTAGAATACAGGAATATAGGCTAATTCCGCAGACTTTACCGTTTCATATCCAGGCCGCGTTCTGTGCCGTAAATAAAAATAACGCTTCCAGGCCAGGGGGTAGGGGTCGGTCGTGTGTACTTGTTGACCTGTCAACCAATCTCCTTCCCATTTTTTCTCCATTTATTTTGTATTTTTTTTTGTATTTTTGGATCAACAGTGGGGGGATGACCCCCTTTGCCCCTCTCCCTTAACTACGCCACTGGGCATGCAGGCCAACGCATATACCGGAACTATGCGTACGAACAAATAACTCCAAGGCCCTCTCGTGATTTCTGTGGGGTCGTCTGTGGGGGTTGGGGCATTATTAATGGAGTACATGATAATTAAGTATAGGCCTGCTCCTGCGAATGGCTAAAACGTGTATGTGCATGTAATATAACTACAATATAATTACTGAGTAATATAATTAATTAACATTATATCTTGATTATAACTAAGAATGTAACTGATTCCCCTTGGGTACATCCTTATTTTTTAACAATATGGTAATATATTTGCCAATATTTTTTATTATTGTTTGATTAATTGTTTCTATATTTACAAGGTGAAGATCATATTGTAAGATCATAAACTGATAACATTGTGTGGGGTATCTCGACCCGAAAGCCCATACAGACTTATCCCCGCTGTCAACATCAGACAGCGAATGGTGATTTCGTTCAGACCGCGATACGCTTGCTTGGATAACCGGTTGTAAATTCCTGGCGAAAGAATATAATAGGCCTGTGCGGACCAGCTAGTACAAGTGCTCAACTGAACGCAAACTTCGCGCGAACAGCATTTACGAACTCGTTCAGGCGAACACTAACACCTTGATGTGACAGCAATTGGCTCGTATAGGGCGCTTACAAGGCACAAACTTCGCGCGGACAGCATTTGCGAACTTGTTCAGGCGAACACTAACGCCTTGTGACAGCAAGCGTTGCACGGCATCAGAGCACTTGCGTGAACTTACGGCGGACCATCTCGACCAGTACGAGCGACAAAGACGTAAACCTGTACGTATGATCTTACACGGCGTCTAGCTATCATACGCGTTACCCGTCCTGCCTTTCATATAAGAAAACGCAAGGGATTACATGGGCAGGTGCCGCACATCCCATTTATCCGAGGTGGACGTGATCCATATGTGGATTACTAAGCTACTAGGCTGGATACCACGCTACCCGGATGTTCTCACAGCAGAGCGTGAACGCCTTAAACAAACTAACGTTGTGAATGAAAACTGTAGGCACGATAATCCGGAAGTAGTTTTGATTCATATCAGCAACTAATCGTCCTATTAAGGGTCAAAACGGTTAAGTATAAAAACAGCAAGTAAGTATACGGTAAACGTTAAAATCTCTGGTGCAGTAATCCCGCCTAACTGTCACTCACCGTCGCTTACCGTCACCTCATAACTGTCACTTATGTTAGTGTCTAAAATTGCCCAGAATTATTATGATGATCGGGGTGCTGCGATTCTGTCTCTTTCTTTGCAGCTAATATATAGTGTCCTACATACCCACATATCTTTAGCAACACTGCGAGTTAGAATCATTGAGTGCTTGAGGAGGATATATAGACGAAGGATAAATAGTGACGAAAACATCCAAATCACTCAACATGCCGACCAATCTTGCAGGTAGGTTCCGTGACATATATAACTATGGCAGACGCATATTAAGAATAAACATGAATTATGTACGAAATGCGTTATTTATCAAGCTCCCTTACATTTACCAACCATTATAGCCTTCTATATTCGATAAGACGGATGCAGTTGTGCCTCTGAGCATATGTGCAACAGTTTGCGAAAAAGCAAGTGAAATGGCCACCGCTGCGTGTGTACCGTAGAGTTTGGACGCTCGCCCGAAACTTGACGCTCCTATGTGCGCATACTAGAGTCCCTATATACAGAGAGTTGCGCCATGACGAGTCGGAAAAAATCGGTCACGTGATCGCTGCGGCATGTTGTTTCGCAATGGACATCAACACCGCGCCCCGCTTAAAGTACGCGCCTGTGTGGATACGTCTGTACAATGGTGGCCTATATGGACGGCATTGTCGCATATAGACCAGTAATTAATTGATAATGTGACTTCAATAAACTCAAGATTAACACAGAGATTATAGCTAAAGCATGTGTCTATGTGTAGCGTAGATTTATAAACTGCAAAACAAAGTATACACGCTTGCGAGCGAGTAGACGAGTGGAACGCATTATCTTGTGAATTACAGTGACTACCCAGATAGCATGCGGCACGTTGGGGCCAACGTTGGGCCAACGCTGTCTTCAGCTCATGCTAACGTTGGCAACGTTGGCTGGCGCAACGTTGATCCACGTCTTTTTGCTCAGCCGTGCCAACGTTGGCAAAGCCACGTTGGCCGCAACGGCAGTGCAGCGGCAAGCGTTGGCCAACGTCATAATTGCCAACGTTGCCCAACGTCATAGACAGCCAAACGTCTGATCCAACGGCCTTTTGCTCAGCGTGCCAAACGTTGGCGCAACGTCATATTGCCACGTTGCCGGCAACCGTCAATTTGCCACGTTGGCCCCACGGATTTTTGGCTCGGCGGGCCAACGTTGGCCCAATGTCAATATTGGCCTAAACGTTGGGCCGCAACGTCTGACAGCACAACATCTGGCCGCAACGCCTGACAGCCAACGTTGCCGCAAACGTCTGACAGCCAACATTGCCCACACGCCTGACAGCCACGTTGGCCCAAACGGCTTTTTGGGCTTCAGCGTGGCCTCGTTTCCCCTCAAAACGCACCTCCGCTCTTTGTGTTCCTCTCCTGCACCACACACACAACACAGGCGCCCACACACACACACCCACCACAGCCCACACACACACACACACACACACGCACACCTCTCTCTCCTCTCTCTCTCTCTCCTCTCTCTTCTCTCTCTGCTCACTCAGCACCGAGATCCAGACACGCGCGGAAGCATTTCTCTCTCTCTCGCTGTCACACACGAACAAGCACACACAGCCACAGCAAGCTGCTGCTCTATCTCTTCTGACCCATACACTCCCTCTTTGTTTCTCTCTCTCTCTCGTCCCTCACACACACACACGCGCGCCGCCACACACACACCCGGCCACAACACACACGCGCGGCGAGCATGGCAACGCCGTGCGCGGCACCATTCTCTGTCTCTCTCTCACTCACACACTGCGCGTACACCTCTCTCTCTCTCTCTGACACATAACCACTCCCTGCTCTGGTTCTCTCTCTCTCTCGTCGCTCTGCCTCTTCTCGCGTCACACCACCGACAACACAAACGCGCACACCTAGCCCTTCTCTGCTCTCAATTCTCTCTCGTCTTTCCTCATCTCTCGTCTCTCTCTCGTCTCTCACACACACAACACACAGCACACACGCACTAACCTCTCTCTCTCAGACACATACACACTGCCCTCTCATGTTCTCTCTCTCACCACACACGG